AATAGTTTTTCATGCTAACATTGGAATGATGCCTTATGAGGCTTTATATGAGAGGAAGTGCAAGAGCCCTTTTTGTTGGTATCTCCATGATGTTATTTGGGTTATAGTAGATTGGTTAACCAAGAGTGCACATTTCTTACCTATGAGTTTGAATATCTCCATGGCATAGCTAGCCCAATTGTCTATAAGAGAGATAGTAAGATTGCATGGAGTACCTTCCAGTACTATGTTTGATAGAGATCCAAGATTCACTTCTAGGTTTTGGAAAACCTTACAAGAGGCACTAGGGACTAGGCTGAGACTCAACACTACATGTCACCCCAGACAGATCTATTAATAGCTTTTCATGCTAACATTAGAATGATGCCTTATGAGGCTTTATATGAGAGGAAGTGCAAGAGCCCTTTTTGTTGGTATCATAATGGGGAAGATGTGTTAATAGGGTATGAGTTGCTTTAGCAAACGACTGATAAGGTTCGTTAGATACAAGAGAAGATGAAAGCTTCACAGTGTAAACTAAAGTCATATGTAGATCAAATGAGGTGACCATTAGAGTTTGATGTTGGGATCATGTATTTTTGAGAGCGACGCCCAACACAGGTATAGGGAGAGCCAAAGCCTAAGAAAGTTTCTCTTAAGTTTATTGGACCATACCTATTAGGATCATTGATCACTAGACCAAGCAGCTTAAGGGTAAGCAGATTAGTATGGTGAAAGTATTGTGGGATGTCAACTCAGGTGATGTAACATGGGAACTGGAGGAGGATATGAGAAAAGCTTATCCTTTTCTTTTTCTTGGTAAGTGGAATTTTTGATGACGAAAATTTTTCTTGTTGGAGGAATGTAAGGACTGAGACTTTAGTAGTTTAAAGAGAAATAGTGGTTAAAGAGATAAAAATAGTTTAAATAGAAAATTCTTACATTTCAAACTTTATTTCTAAAGAACTATCATCTCTCTAAACTCTAAATCTTCTTACTTCTCTCTAAAATTTTCTTACCCAATTGTTTTCTTTTTTAAAATTTAGGTACATCATTGGACTCCTAAAAACGAGGGGAACATTTTCAATCAAAATCTTAAATAGAGTAAGTTTTTTTTTCCTCTATTTTAGAGAATTCTTACAAATTTGAGGTTAAGGTTTTGCATGTGGGTCTTCGAGTCTTGCATGTGACCTTGGTGGAATAAAGATGAATCTTGACTAGTTTATAAATATTGTAATAAGTTTGATTTGTTAATTAGGATTTTCTGTGAGTAGGATTTGACTCCTAAGAAATTGGGGATTTAGAACTTTCAAGCTTGAGAACACTGAAATTGTAAGGTAAAGGAGACAAGTTATTCGTTGATTTCCATGGCACTATAGGTTATAAAATCTAAACTGTGAATGTGACTTGATCACATTATTTGATTTGTATTTTAAATTGTGATTGAATGAATTAACTTAAAGTAATAATGTGTATAAAATGTTAGGGTATCATAACTATAATCGGACTAGGTATGACATATTTTAAAAGGAAATTGAGTAAAAGTCTCACAGGATAGTGTTTGATGTTTGAAGTGTGATTTAGCACAAGTTTAATAGGTTTATTATCTGCATATTTCGCTCAAGTGATAATTGGTCGCTCAAGCGAAATGTGCAAAAGAGGAAATGACTCATCTCATGTATATTTTCGCTCAAGCAAAAATATTTCGTTCAAACGAAAAAATATCCTAGTAGATGAGGCTTGCCTAGGGTGTATTTCGCTCAAACGAAGAAAATTTCACTCAAGAGAAAGTGAGTCTCACTCAAGCTAGAAAGTTTTCGCTCAGAAAAAATGTGATTATTTGGTGTATTTTTACTCAAGCGAAATTTCTTAGAATTTTTTACCCAAACTTCTAAAAATAAAAAATAGCTCAAAACTCCAAATTTAGTGTTCCATTTATGCAAATCAAAGTCTTTGAAATAAGGAATCCAATAAAACAAGAATTAATCAAAAAATATATTTGTACAAAAAATTATGACCAAAAGAATAGACATAGGCCAAATCCCATAAATTTACTCTTTGCTGAAATGTGAGTATATACATGACCTAGGATAATATAATACATGTATTGAACATGAAATGATGTGTGTTAGATACTAATATATGTATAGAAAAAAAATGTTGTAATGTGAGAAATATCATGTGATACCCTCATATACATGTTATATCTGTGATGGATTAATTAAAGTTAACATTGTAGTTTCCAAGAAAGAAATACTATGTTGGGATGTAGGTAATGTATTGAATTTGGGATTTTAAAGGAGATATCATAACTCTACTAATATTGGACTAACATAGAGAAAAATATCAAGTGGTGAGAGTTGAAGAAAGTCTCTATGACTTAGCTTGTAGTATGAAAAATAACTATATCTGATAAGTAATATGAATTTATCTTGGCACATGCGGGAATATGTTTCAATTATGTACCTATGTTGGAGATGTCCACTTAAGGTAAATACTGTGACAAATGCAAATCTCGAAGTCTACGTTCAATGAATGATAATCTTCCTAAAATAGAATTAAGTGTCTATGACTATAAATGTTTGTATATGATAACATAAGATGTAGCTTACATGTTGATATATTAGACACTTGATAGTTGTAATGCTTAATTTATTTATTCAAATGTGAATATTGAGAATATTTTGTGATAATCATATGAATAAAGAATTTTATTACTAACCTATTTTAGTTTGTGTTAATATAAACTGTGATGAACGTGTTACTTCATGTGAACAAATGATATTTCAGATTATCAATTTCAATATTGAACTACGAATGAAGTGAAGAGGAAATATTATATTTCAATTATTTTGTTTTTTAAAAAATGTATAAAGAATATTTGTAATATGATAATGTTTCTTTTACAATAACTTAATATATTTATATTTTTAAATATTTTAAATTTTATGTCTTAATGTATGACGTTACAAAACAAACTCTTATTTTGAGTTTATGGCTTCCTGAACTTAGTTTGTGGAATGATGAATGAATAAAAACCAATATACCATTTATAGTTACCTCTCTTAGTTATTTTTAAGCCCCTTCGTAAGAGAAGGGTAGTCTTTTCCTTCCTTTACAATTTTGTTCTTTGATTTTTAAGACCTAGCAAAAAGCTTTCCATTTTTATTTTACATACATGTATTTAAGATTTAAAAAAAAATGATTGCATAAAAAAAGTTTTGTTGAAATTGAGAATCAATGTGTCAAATTCTCAATTATATATAAATTAATTTCTCAATTATAAAACTATAAAAGAGTTTTAGTTAAACTAGAAAAAAAAGTTCCAGTTTCGTTTTAATCAGATTAGAAAAAAGGAAGTTTTAGTTTATTTTTAATTTAAAATGTTTTAACCTTTTTTTTAATTAGAAAAACAGTTTTTTTTTTAATTCCATTTTACTCATATACAATTTGTAATAAAGTAGGACTAATATTGGTGTAGAGAAAGAAAATGAGAAAAATGATATTCAAATAGTAAATATTCATATTCTATTATACATGCAAATAAATAAATAAATAAAAGGTATTTACAACCATTTTCTTGTTATGTAAGAAATAATGCAGAATATACTAGTTAGCAATAAAAATCTCATAAAAGATTGATAGGCATAAATTAATAATTGATAAAATAAAAAATATGTAGCTATAAAACAAAGAAATACAATGCTATTCCAAAGTGCTCAAGCCAGGTTAATACTGACAAGCTCTGCTGGACATACCAAGTTGTGCAGATTGAAATAGACAGAATTTTCATGTTCCTCACCCTGGCCCTCTACATTGTCCTTATCGCCAAAGGTAAAGAACAAGAACTTGTAGTTGTAGCTTGTATGTCAGTTGTGGCAACAGTATACGAACAGAGACAATACTAGTACTATATGCTAGTTTTCTCAGTTCATTTATTGACAATTGAATGATATATTAACAAACAGGTCATTCTTGATTGAGGTTGGTTCGGGGTATTGATTTGTATGGTGTTCTTTGGTGGCTGATTCTTATTTTCTTACTTATGACTATTGGCAATTGACTATATCTATTTGTTCTACACTTTGTGTGGCACCGAAATGAGGGTTCATAGTGCTTTACCAAACCAGAGTGCTAACATCTTTGTTTGTGTGTGTGTGGGGGGGGGGGCATTAAGATGAACTATTCTATAGAGGATAAGACATCATAGTGCTTGGCCAGTACAGGTTTCACCTATTCAGAGGGTTCACACTTTTAATTTTCTGAATATATTGGCTTTAAAAAAAGATGTTGATAGTTTATTGAAACATATTCCTTCTTTCTTTCTGTTTTTGGCTCAAGAACGTATTCCTTCTTTATGACAAACATCATTATGTTTTGATGAGCTTAATTTTTTTTTTTTTACTATTGATTAATATAGCATTTTGGCTAAAAACTCTACAACAATCTGATTATAAACTTTTCCACAACACTAAATCATCCCAATAAACAAAATTGCTGTAAACTAAAACACCTGGGTAGAGGCAAACCCCCTGCTAGAAGATTTTGATCCCACATATGCGCCTTTTGTTAGTCAGACTGCGCAATCATCGTGGTAAACTACCGAGACTATAATTTGGCAAGCTCGTTTCAATTGAAAAACCAAAATTATATAGCTGATGTAAAGCTTATTGACAAGTCATATGGTCATAACCCAAGAATAGAATCAAACTCAATGCATCTTTGTTAGCAAGTCCACAAAGGTTAGATTATTAACTTGAACTCGAAGGTGATTTCTGGGCTACATGATCTATTTGGTTAAATTACTTTCCTATCAATCAAGCAGAATAAAACATTTACCTAACCCCAGACACCCTACCAACCAATCATTCATATATATATTGGGAAAGAGAAAAAGTTAAAGGCCAGGGTAGGCTACCTCTTTCCAAGGCAAGGGCATGGCACAGGCCTTGGGCAAAGGCAACCAATCAAATAATTAATGAGAAAAATACAAGCTCTGCAAATACGCTCCACCATCTTCTTTATGCATGAGTGGCTGTGGGCCTGAAGCAATCGATGTTGCACAATCCAACAGATCTCACCATCTCCCCAAAGCTGCAACCACAAAACAGAAAAGTAATGTCAAAAAACATTACCACTGCATCATTTGATCTCACTACACTACATTAGACAAGATTTGTGTCTGACCGGTCAATGCTATTTCTAGCTTTTTCAGGTATATCTGCTCCATTATATGCCTTCTCAGGACGATCTATACTCTTTCTTGATCTATCTCTCCGGTCTATGCTGGCTCTTGACTTCTCTTTATGGTCTATGACTGTGCTAGCACCAGGCTTTTCTTTGTGATCAATACTCCTCAAATTCTCCCTTAGGTCCATGCTGGGTCTCGATTTCTCTCGAAAATCTATGCTGTTCCTCGGTTTATCCTGTGGATCAGGAATATGACCAGATCCAGTTTTTTGATGCAGTGACTTCTCGATGACTGTAACAAATTTCTTGAGGTGCTTTATATATTGAGGGTAAAGCTCCAAATCACAGTGATTTCCTCCTTTAATCCACAAGGGCTCATACTTTTGTTTACAATTTTCCCAGAGTTGCTTACCATGGGAGCAATCTACTACATCATCTGCTGTTCCCTAAAATATAAAAGGCAATACAAAGAACCATCTCACTATATTAACATAGTTGAAAGTTGAAACACAACCTTTAGTTGCATCTTACAAACATAATTGAGCAATGAAAGAAACAATCTAAACCATAAATACGTTACCAAATATTGAAAATAAATACTCAACAATTCATGCAATTCATATGCATGCAATTCATGTACTCACAACAGAGTTGACCACTCAAAAAGAAACATTCTAACCCATAAATATGTTCCCAAATATCTAATATACAAAGACTGGCTGAATTGCTGACCAATAATAAATGATACTAGTATACTAATTGGTGCAAGAATTCGAAATACTTTGGCATATTTGACACAGACAAGTTAATTGTGACTGGAATATGCATATAGAAGCTCAATAAGAGATCAGCAATTGACAACCTAATGTATAATCAGAATAGCTCAAAATAACATTAGCAAGTTCAATTGGTCCAATGAACTTATTAAGTGGGAATAATAAGAGCATGTACAAAACCAAAGCAAAATTGTAGACACAGACGACAAATATAAGTTAGGGACAATTAGGAGCAGAAAGTGACCTAGTGCACAAGAAGGCTCCTTCATATTAGGGTCTGGGGAGAGTAGGCTTTTGCATAAGTCACACTGACCAAAGAAATACTTAACAAGAAACTATAGAAAATACGTCATATAATTACTCCAACATTGCAGCATCTAATATGCAATGGTATATCTAGTTTCTAAATATAAATATCGTCAGAAATGTGAAGAATACTCACATGAATCACAAGAACGGGACAATTCACTAAGGGAATTTTATCAATGTTCTGCATCAAAACAAGATCAATAACATTAAAATGGACCAAAATTGAGCATTTTGGGTTATGATTCACCGATTTAGCATTGATATGGGTAAAACCTTATAAATGTCAAACCAGTATGTGCGCTTCACAGGATACATGACACGAAGGCCAGACAAGATTGGACTGTGGAGAATCACAGCCCTAAGGTTTGGTAAACGAGAAGCCAAATCTATAGTTGGTCCACTACCAACAGATTGCCCATACAGAACAATATCTTCCTCTTTTGCCCCATACTTCTCCTGCAGGCATTTATAAACAGCTTCTATATCTGCGTAAGTGTTCTGCTCACTAGGCTGTCCAGAAAGAAAAAAATATCAAATTGTTAAACTCAAGCTACCATGCTAGCAGCAATCTCAGATTGATTTATACCCTGATTTTCTCTCCTCTTTTTTCCCCTTCTCTCTTTATTAAATTTTTTCAGTAAAAAAAAAATCTTTATTAAATTTAGAATAAATTACTGGTCTCTTCCCTAAGAGATTCTTAAATTACACTCTCCCTCCCTTTTCCTTAAAATATATTGTCCCCCTAATAGATGAATGAATGAGTTACACTTTAGCCTTTTCAGTATATACAAACTTCTTAAAAAGAAGTGAAAAATTATGAATAATATGTCTCCTCATGCCATTTGATCCTATTACAACTTTCAGAGCCACCGACAACTAATTTTGAACGCACCATATTACTCATTTTAGTATTTGAGATGATAGAAAAATGTTTTAAACATCGACTTTGAAATCTCTCTAAATTAAAATTTTATAATTACAATAAATATTAATATATATATTTATATAATTTTGTAAATCACATATCCCTATTTCTAAATTAAATTTCAGTCTATCAAAAGTTACAAAAAAACTTCTATCACAATTTAAAATTAAAATTATTTATTCTAAATCTAAAATATAATTTTATATATTTAAGAATACTTTATACATAACAAATATTTATTTATTTTAAATTTTAATAATTATATAAAAATTAGTAATATACATGCTAAACTTACTAACATAAATAATAATAATAATAATAATAATAATAATAATAATAATAATAACCGACATCATCATTCATCTCAGAGATAAAAACAAATATAAATACCTTCCCAGATGACTGTCCATATCCAGAATAGTCATAACTACAGAGAAGAAAACAACAGACATTTTCTCAGAAATTGCCATAGGTCTCCAATTAGGTTCACAAATACAACAAACATTAGAAAGATCGGTGTATTCTAAGATTTAATACCTAAAGAAGAAAATTAGGTCCCCATATACAATTAATCAAAGGTATAATTCGATCAACAAATGCTATTTCAAGAAAGCACGTGATAATTTCAAGTTTCCAGAAAATTAAGAAAACTGTGTTATCTATCTCACAATTCACAACCTAATTTTGCTATTTAAGAATAATTCGGACTTTTGCCAATTTAGTGAAAGTCGAACAAATTTGAATAATTCAAAGACGAACTTTACACATAAAAAATAAAAGTTCTTTTTCCCCCCAAACTAGCGTTAGTTTCCTTAAATAAAATTTAATTGGAACCATATGGATGAAAAAAAAAAAAAAAGCTTGAATAGTTTACACTAATGACATAATTTTTTTTTTCTTAAAAAAAGAGAGTCTAAAATGGTAAAAAAACTTGAATAGCATTATAATTGAATGAACAGATAGGTAAAAAGGAAAAAAATTGTAAGGTTTGAGAAAGTAACCCCATGAGGTTAACTCGGAGGTGGAGACTGAGTTCGCTAAACAACTCGTACATCTGACCCAGATCAGCCGCGTTACCGTGGGAGTAAAGCAAAGTCAACGACGCCGTTGGGTTCTTAATATACATCGCCACAACGCTGTTTCCTCTCTCCGTCCGCACCTTCAAAACGTCGACGTTTTCTCTCGTCGCCACCTCCACCATCTTGGCCCTCCCCTCCTCCTCCTCCGCCACCGTGTACGACGGCGGATCCGGCGGAAAGAACGCAAACTTCGCCGCCATCGACGACGTCACTGCTCCCATCGACACACCGAAAAAGAGCTAAACAACAATTAAATAAAAAAAAAATTAAACGTTTAGCTTAATTTTGAAACACTGAAGCGCATTGTTGAGAATGGATTAAGAATGGAAGGTTCTGGAGTGAAGGGAGGTGTGTGATTATATTAGTCGTGTTTTGCTGCTTGGGGAGTGTTTGGTTGCAGAGGTATTGCGCTGCGACAAACACAAAAGGAAAGTAGTGTTTTAACGTTTTATTTTAGGGTTTTTCTTTTGGATAATCAGTCACTTTATACTTCTTTTGGACGTTGTAATTCATTATCATCTAAATTTTTCATAACTATCAAACCTTAAAAATATATTTTTCTTTAATAAATATAATTTTTTACAAAAACAATATTAAAAGTTTAAAAAAAAAATCAATTTTTAATACTTTTTGTATATTGAAGTAAGGGTTGAACGAGCTGTGTTGGGGGGAGCGTGGGTTTTGGGAAGAGAGAGGGATTTCCGGCGCGGATGAGGAAGGTGGCACGTGCGAGAGGAGGGAATGATTGTGTGGGACGGCGATGTTTCAGAGACAAATGGTCACAGCTGCTCTATGTTCGCCACGTGTCCATTATGTTTTGTTTTTTACTTGGATCTTCTTTTCTTTTGTTTCGAAAGTTGATTCGAATAAAAGATTCCACAGCTTTTGCTAACTCATTACTACCTGTTAACTATCATATTCATATTCTGACTTCACACATACTTTATATATATATATATATATATATATATATATATATATATATATATATATATAAAAATTAATTTTTATATAATCTATTTTTTATTAAAAGGATTTCAGAAAAAAAAAAGCTTTTAAATTTTTAATCTTTATTATTGAAAGAATATAAATAATAATGGTTTTGCTTTTTATAGTTGAATAAAGTAATTTAGGAACGATGTAACGTCACGTTTTGTTTGTAATTTTGCAGTGGATTTTGAATACAAGTTTGTTTGTTTCTTTATATTCAACTTTAATAATTATGTTAATAAATTCCATTATTTGTTTTGTTGCAGATTCTACGATGGGCTGTCACGTGCTGTACCGACATGACCCAACCACAGTTTCGAACGCCAATCCACAATAAAATTATAACTTTTTTTATGCTTTCTATAAAACATATTTTTTTTCTAAATATTTAAATTTTTCAATTTACTTTTTGTGTCTTTGTCTTTTATTTAATAAGATTTTTTTGTTACTATTATAATTGTTAAATTTATTATTAAATACATATTCTTTTAAATTTTTTTATCTAATTATGTTCATGTTGAATTGTAAATAACAAATTATAAGCTTAACTTTTAAGTGTAATTATTACGCAACACATGAAACATGACCATTATCCGAAACTGGATTGAAAAAATTTGAGACCAAGTAATTCATTATTTTTGGGATCAAGTGATTATTTCATGAATAAATTAATTATTATAATTTATGGACTAATGTGAAGTTATTATGTATATTACAGATTTTATAAATATACTCTAAAGTTCTTAATTACATCAAAATCACATGCACGAAATATTTTATTATCTTTCTTACCGTTAACATTAGAGTAGTTTTTATATTTTAAATTGATTTGATTTAACTTAATTACAATAACCTATTATAATTTACATACTATATAATTTTAGTTTTTTATATATTTAAATTTAATGTTTAATAATAATTTTTATTTTCAGAAAATTAATAAAATTACTTAATTTACATATTTCTTAAATTTTTACAATAAATGGTAAAAATGAAAAAAAAATACTTTAGATTATATAATATATATATATATATATATATATATATATATAATCTTTATAGAAATTATATATGACAAGTATGGATTAAAAATATATAAACTTTATTTATTATATAAATATGTTTTCAAAAGATAATCATTTTTTATTTCTCATATTTGGACAATTCTTCAATTGTTAAGGGTGTACAAACTAATTTGTTACTTATACATTGAGATGATATGATCGAGTATACACTCTCTGTAAGATGAAAAGCATCCCAAAAGATATTTTTGCTTCGATTCAGACATGGGGTTGAAAATGGAATACATCCTCGAGTACCATTTGCTATAGTGGTGCAACATGGATTACTTGCATCTGAAAGTCCTACAAATATAAACATGATTTAGAAAGATTGAAAATAAATGTAATCAAACCTTAAGAATATGTGCTTCTCTTAAAAAAGTTAGCATTAGAAAATGATTTGTCATTTCAAATATTTAGAAGAATTCATCTTAATCTTAAAATATGTAGAAGAAGATAATGAGTTACTTCGCACTAAAAAGTAGTCTCTTTGAAGTTTTTACCATATTTGGAAGGATTCTTGATTATATCATAGCCTAAGAAATTGGAATGGCAAAGAATAAAGGAGGAGTTTGGAAGAGTAGATGTCAAATTTTTCAATAATGATGGAAGTCTCTCATTGAACTTTGCTACCATTTTATTTACTTCCTCTACACAGGCACCTTCGTGCTTATGTGTCCTTGAAATTGAAGGGATGCACCCCACAGGTCCAATTTCAGACATTATTATCTTCCTAGCTCCCAACTTGTATAATTTCTGTCACATTTAACAATTTTATCAAACAAATGACACCATTTCTAAATTACTAATCATGTGAGTGTATGAAAAATCCACTATAAGAAATCTAAATCAACAAATATTCCTGGTAAAAATAACTTTATAGATATTAATAATGTACCTCAAATTGCTCAGAGATTGTTGTGATGAGAAGTTCAGCAAATGGTATAGGCTCATAACTTTTGCTTGTAGCATCATTTTTTATTTGTATGTAGTTGTTGATGTAGTCATTACTTCCTATGGAGAATACAAATATAGATTTTGATATTTGCTCATATAATTGAGTTGAATTTTGTATCATACTTGGTAAATCATTTTTAACTGTGTTTTGAAATAAATTCACTTGATCCCTCAAATTCAGACATCTTCCCTATAAAATTGAGAGAACAATTTTGTTTAGTAAAATAAAATATATAAAATATTGCTATTTAAAATCAATTTAAGCCAATAATTAATCAAATAAAGTATGATTGATGAAGCTTAAAGTACACATTACTATGCAAAATTTCCCTTTATTTGTAACATATGGAGTATACAATGAAGGTTTTCTTTAAATTTCAAGAAATGCTTGAAATAATGCAAAATAACAGCCAAGAACTAAAAACCACCCAACTTAGGCTCATAGCTCAAGAATATAATGAAAAAAGATAACAAGGTTCTACTATTCACCAAAGTGTAGATGAGAGTATCTTTGATATGATTTTCAAAATATTTACAGCAAAAGAAGCGCAAGATTAGTTAAAGAAGTATTTTGTTAGTGGTGAGAAGATCAACAAAAGTGAGACTCCAAGCATTAAAGAAAGAGTATGAATTGTTTCAAATTGAAAAAATAAAGAAGATAACAAATCATTTTGGTCGTGTATTGAGTTATACAAATATAATGAGAGTGTGGAGAGAAATCACAGACAAGATGATTATGAAAAAAAATGTGTGCACTTTTACACAAATTTGATCATATACTTGTAGCAACTGAGGAATCCAAAGATATAGATACTGAAGATTGAGAAATTGAAAAAAAATCTTTAAAGGAATAGGAATTGAAATTTATTTAAAGGAATAAGATCAAAGTAAGAGATCAAATCTTGCAATTACAAGTCAATGAAATTTTTGCAAGGTGTAAGGGAAAACAAAGAAGCCTTTTAAAAAAAGCTAGAATCTTATAGTCATAGTAAATTTAAGCATGGAAACAAAGTTGAGTCTCATCAGTAGAAGATTCTTGGTCCTTTTCAGTCCAAATAGAGAAAGAAGGATAATAAGAAGATGTAATGTTTTGTATGTGACAAATTTTTACATATTTCTTGAATGTTTATTCATAAAAAGAAAATAGAAAGGAAAATAAAAAATAGAGAATCAACAAGAAATAAATATAGTAAAATATGACTATGAATCATATCCAACATTTTTTTATGGTTACAACTACAAAAAACAATTCATCATCAAGATCTTGGTTCTTGGACACTGATTATTCTAACTAAATGATAGGTGTTTTGGTATGCTCATGAGTCTCATATCGTTTAGGAGTTGAGATTAAGGATAATTTATATACGCTCCTTTATTAGCCCCCGAAACGTATTTTAAGGACAAAATTATGATGAACTAGAGCACTAAAGTAAACAATACTCTGATATGCAAATTAATTCTAACGATGTTATCATAACGAATATATGACTAGGACAATCTTATTCTTAGGTCTTAGATGGAAAATATTTAGAGTCTCACTCCACTCACTTATAACCCTTTATTTTCGATTGGTACGTTCATGAGTCTCACATCGTTTAGGAATTGAAGTCAAGAATAATTTATATATACCCTTCTCTTTTAACCTACCGAAGTACCTTTTAAAAACAAAATCATGACGGACTAGAACTTCAAAACAGACAATACCTCGAACATAAGAGTTGACCTTAATAATGTTATCATAACATACATGAGGTTAAGACACCCTCATTCCTAGATGGAATAACATGACATAAGAGTGACATACTGAATTAGATCCAATCAAATGAACAAAGATGAGATTTGCTAATAGAAAAATATTGACTAGTGAATTAATTATATTATTATTAAAAGGAAGGATGATAAAATAATATTGATTGGGAATAAACTACTTATGTTTGGTATGGAGTGTAATCTCATTAGTATAAGACAATTAATTGAAAAATAATTTTTAATTATTATGTAAGATAGATCAAGTTAATGCTTAGGTCCTCACTTTCAAATAATAGAATGTTTAAATCCAACATTGATGCTACATATGCAAGGTACTTAAAAATAACCCAGTAAGATGGTTAGCTTTGACATCCAAGGTTTGGTCATTTAAACTTTAAAAACCTGAGTTAATTACAATAAAATGAAATGGTGATAGAATTGTCTAAGGTAAATGTTCCTAACAAGAAATATAGTTTGTCATATTAGTAAGTAATTTAGAAACTCTTTCTATTCAAATCAGCCAATGAAATCATTAAATATGTTACATGTTATGCACTCTAACATATATGAAAATTTTAAGGTTGCTTCACTAGGTACAAATATTTTGATTCTTTCTTTTTATGAACATAACATATTGAAGTGACTATATCTTATAAAGATGAAAAGTGAAGTACATGAGTTATTTAAGAAGTATAAATCATTGGTTTACAAAAGTTATAAATTTCTCAAGGTATTGAGAACTAAGAGGGGAGAGAGTACAACTCTTGTGATTTTGAGGAATTTTATGAGAAACAGAATATCCAATATGAGATCACAACACCTCACACTTTAGTGCACAATGGTCTCGTAGAAAATAAATAAATAAATATATATATATATATATATATATAAAATACTTGACATGATAAGAAGTTAGTTTAAGTAGAAAGATTTATTAACAAAATTTTGAGGTGAAACAATCACTAGTGCGACTTATCTCTTAAACAGGTATCCAACTAGAAGAGTTGAAGAGAAGGTACCTAAAGATGATTGTTTTTTAAGAAAATACTTAGTGAGTCATTTTAGAATTTTTGGTTGTCTATGTTATAAATATGTTTGTGATTTTAGGAGAAGTTCCAAGACAAGGATGAGCTTGTGTTTCTAACTTATTATCATACAATTGGTTCATATAGGTCTTATAAACCCATGAGACAGATAATTGAGATTAATAAAGATGTGATTATAGATGAAACTAACTCATGCAAGTGACAAGAAAGACCTACTAATAAAAAAAAACTCAGTGTTTTAATTCAATTCTTGATGAACACTTGGAATATAAACACTAAAGAATCATATCAAATGTAGAAGTTAAATATTTTAATGTGAATCAAATTCAAATATCAAAAAGATACATCTACCATTTTTTTTTGTTATTATAAGTTATTTAATGATGATGAAGTAAAAAATCTAGTCCATTTTTCATTAATAATTGATTTAAAACCAACTAATTATAAAGAGATTCAAAGAAGATCTCCAATTGAGAATAATTACACTTTATAATTGATAATTTTTTGATAAATTTACCCACTCACAACAAAATTATAAATATTACCATTAAATTTTCCTACTGTGCTTGTAAAGAAATTAAATAAAGAAAAACAAATAATAACATGTTTTTAAAATAAAATATTACTTTTGACCACTCATCGTGTTATTTTAAAAAGATGAAAATGATAAAATAAAAATATATATAAATATAATGTGATAGGAAAATAAATAAAATAATAATAAATGTTAGTAGATGTTTAAATATTAAAAAGTTATTACTCTTTTAAAATAATGAAACGACAAATCTTTTTAATAAATTATTGTGGTATATTTGAAATGGATAGAAAGGGAATGAATCAAAAGAAGAGAAAAACAATTAAATTTTATATTCTGACATTGTTTAATATCACTTAAAAAAGATAAAAATAAATAAATAAATATTATATTATAAATTATATAAACAATTTTAATAAATTTCTAAATAAATAGATTCATAATAAAATATTTAATTTTATTTTGTATATTCTTTTTTATTTTATTTTCTTTATTTCTTTAATCAGAGGTTAGGTATCAGAAAATCTTTCAATTTTTTCTGTTAAAAAGATTTTTTCTTTGGAGTTTTGCAAAAGAAAAATTCAACCTAAAAACAACATGCAAAAACCACAAAGACATGAAAAAAAATTAAAAATCTCTACAAAAAAATTGGAGCAAGAAAGAAAATGTATAAAAGTATAGAAATTAAAAAAAAAAAATCATTTGGGTGCATACTTACAAGCATGGCTCCAGTCTCTGGCAAAATTCCACAAGAACCAGATGCATAATTGATTCCAATTAACGAATTTAAACTTCGGGGACTAAGGTACGGAGGAGGATATGGCAATCCAAGATATTCAGCTGTTCATCCAAACAAAACAATTTTTATTAATCGTTTAATCATCTAGTCATCAAACACATGTAATTAATGTAATCACAATTATAGTCACAAAATCAAAACTTCAAAAATTTTAATTGGGTTGTGTTCCATATTTTAAACCTTTTAAGGTATGTAAGTTAGTAAAAAAGAAAACGTTATGTTGTCATTGTAGTTGCGTGTAAAGTTAAAAAACTTTAGACAAAATTTTTTTATTGAAGGTGAGGATTCTAGAAAAGTTTTGTTAGGATACGATAGGATAAAATCTTACATTGATTAAAAATAAGATAAAGTTATAATATAAAGTGATTATAGTTTTTATTTTATCGAATTTATTTTTTAAAGTAAAGTTAGGTATTTCTTTATTTTTATTAATAAAGTTTATTAAGATTTTTATGGTCACTCAAACTTTTATAATTTATATTAATATTTATAATTTTGATCCTAATTAATTATTAAGGATGACAAAATGAGTTAGGACTAGTTCATCGATTTATTTTGGTCCATTCAATCTAGTATGTCAATATAGTAGATCAAGGATGGAACGGAGTAGATTGACCCACTAACCTATAAAATAATATTTATATATTAAAATAAAAAAATTATAATTAAAAATATTTTATTTTTTATATTATTAAAATATGTAAATATATTATAATTTAAATCATAAAAATTAATTAATTAAATTTAAATAATTAATTATAATTAGCATTTTCACATATAAATATAATATTTTTTCAATTTATCTAAATAAATATTTAAAAATATATTATTTTGAATACTAATAAATAATTTTATTTAAAAAAAAAATATTGACAGGCTAGTCGGCAACCCATCTTTTAGCAGGGCGAACTGGATTTTGTAGTCTGTCTTAATTATAGCGGGTCAACCTATCCCATCTCATTTTTTGTAGACCAAAGATAAGATGGGCAAAAATGGGGTAGATAGACCCATTTTGTCATCCCTAATGATTATTGTCAAAGTTTTGTAACTTATATTAATATTTATGATTTTGGTCACCCTAAATTGAATGATTATTAAATATATGTGTTTGTATATTTACAAATTTGACCTTCCATCATTTCATATTTTTTATTATTTATTGATAATATATTATTCAGGTGATCAAGATTCATCTTCATCAACTAAAAAGACAATAATATTATAGTATATAAATGAGACCAATATTCACCTTAATGAACCGATTTTATAAAATTAAATTAAATATCCTACCATTTATAATACAACACATAAATAAGATTTTTATTTATTTTACTTTTTTTTTTATGAAAGTGAAGAATTATGAACTAAAATAAAGAGACTGATGAAAAAATACCTATAAAATCTGCAAAAGTTTTTCCATTGGTGAACCTTCCTGTGGAACCATGGGGAAAATCAATCCCATAAGGTAAGAAATTGGCCCTTGCAAAAGTGGGGAGAAAATTGTTGTTTCCACCGTCCACCAAAGAATCTCCAAACACGTACAATGCAGGTGCACGAGGTAGGGCACAAATGGGTGACACAACAAAGAAAACCAAGAACATAAAAATCATCACTTTTTGTTCCATTGCTACTCTTCTCTTTGGGAAAAATATGATGTTATGAAGAGAATGTTGAGTTAAATATACCGTATCTTTCTCTTTGCTTTAGTTTTGGGAAAGATATGAAAAGTAGAGGATGACACACAATCACAAAATCTGGATAAAAGTAGAGAATAAGTTAAAGCTGGAGCATGCAAAGGTTAAGATGTGTTGCATTTGGAAGAAAAGAGATAAATTATTACGCGTAGCTTCGTTATGATCTCATAGTATTTTTTCTAACTATGTATACCTATGATTTTTTTCTTTCACACGTTTAAATTTGTATTTTATTACCAACTCACGTTATTAAATGTAGATTTTATATATTTAAATTTGTCTATCGTTATTTTATAATAAATTTGTGTGTAATTGAAAATATATAAATATATTATTTAATTTAAAAAAAATTATATATTTTATTTATTTTTTTATATTATTAATTTAAAAGTAAATTGTTTATCCTAAGAGCCTTGTTACAATAATGCATTTTACTTTTTAAAATATTAAATTAAATTGATTTATTTAATGAGGTTCAAAAGTTAGGTTTTATTTTTATTTATTTTTTTAAGTTTTTTGAACAGTTCAACGGGTCACAACGTGAAAATGAGAGTAGTGAGTGAAAAACGTGATTGTGAAAGTGAGAGAAAAATATAGAAAAATGTGCGTGTGACGTGAGTAAAGAGAGGAAAATAGGAGTAACGGGAGTGAAGAGAGGAAAATCACGGTTACATATAATTTTATTACTTTTTCTTCTTTTTCATGCAGTCTCACATTTTTTTTTCTCTCAACATATTTTTTTCTCTTCTCAGCGTTGGATGAACTCATGTGTTTTCTTGATCTAAGAATTATAATTCTGGGATATCTACTTCGTTTATATATGTTAAATATTATTAACCACCATTTCAAATAATATCTTCTGTTTATTTTGTTTATTTTTGGCTATTCTTTTAGTTGTACATTTCTCTATTTATAATAGATTATCTATGTGTGATTTATACACAAGTGAGATTAATCTCAAACCTTATTTCCTCTATATTCAACATGGTATCTAGAGCTTAAGGTTATTTTAAAATTTTTTCGCTTTTGTCCACTACTGGATATTATTTTGTAGTGTGAAAATGCATGTTTAGGAAGGTACTGATAAGGAAATACTTGGTATTTAAGCATGTCTATTAGTGACCCACCTCTCTTTCCTGAAAACTTACCTGGTGTACTGGTTCATGTCGTTGTCATTGTCGTCACCGCCTCCACCGCCACTGTCGTAGCCGCCGTCGAAGTTTCATTTTTGACCGGCAACATACAATTTTGCTCGTCTTGGTTAGGCGACCATCGTGCCATTGAGATAACCATTATCGGAGTTGGTCGTCTGTTGTCTGCGTCGTTTAGTCTCAACAGATTTGTTTTGGTCTTCTCGTTTTGAATTTGTCTTTTGTGGGTTGATTGGATTACTTTGAATTTTTTTTAGGTTTTGTTCTCTCACCCTTCATGACTTCTTCCATTCCCTTCTACTACTTCCAATTCTGTTAATGATTCTTCTGTGTTGGCATCTCATCGTGATGACCGAACTCGCCCTTGCAAACAGGAAAAATGGCGTCCTAAGTGTGAACATTATGGCAAGCTAGGTCACAAGATTAACAAGTGTTATGCATTACATGGTCGTTCTCCTCGATCTGTTGCAGTTGTTCAGACCGATCTTTCCCCACCTTTGTCTGCTGGGGATCCTCCCTCTTCTGTTGCATCTGACCATATACTATGTTCAACAAATTTTTCAAATGGTATAAGGATCAACAGTCTTCTAGTTCCACTACATCTGTCGCACACACAGGTACATATTTTGCTGGTCGAACCCAAACCTCTTCTCCTGGTCCTTGGATTTTTTATTCAGGAGCCACTAATCATATTACTGGTAACAAATCTTTGTTTTCCTCTTTATCCTTTCCTAATCCTTTGCCTTCGGTTACACTGGCTGATGACTCTAGAGTATCATCTCATGATGTTGGAACTGTTAAACTTTTCCCTTCTTTAACCATTGATAATGTTCTTTATGTCCCTACGTCTCCTTTTAACCTGTTGTCCATCAGTCGTCTAACTCGTTCTCTTGATTGTATTGTTTTTTTTACAGGACCGGAGTTCGAAATAGGTGATTGACACAGGATGTGAGTCTCATGGTCTTTATCATCTCCGTCCCTCTACACATGTTGGTGCAATTATGGAGTCTCCTTCTCTTCTTCATGCTCAGTTAAGTCATCCAAGTCTTGTCAAGTTACAGAAACTTATCTAGTTTGGCGTGTGAGTCGTGTTAATTAGGCAAACATAGTCATACTTCCTTTTCTCGTAGTGTCACACGTGGTGCTTCGTCCCCTTTTGTCGTGGTTCACTCTGACATTTGGGGACCTAGCCGTGTTAAGTCTACTTTAGGTTTTCAATACTTTGTTACTTTCATTGATGATTATTCCAGATGTACTTGGTTATTTTTTATGAAAAATCGTTCTGAATTATTTCATATCTTTTAAACTTTTTTTCAATGAAATTTAAACTCAGTTCGGTGTTTCTATTAGAGTTTTGCGCAGTGATAAATGAAGTTGAAGGTGGTGTCACTTCAAATCTTGTGTCGTCAAATATGAGTTGCTATAAATGAGAACACAAGAAATCATCAAAGAATATTTTGCTAGATTATTGTCGATCACAAACTTGATGAAGTTATGTGGTGAAAGTTTGAAAGAATGAGAAGTGGTGCAAAAGGTGATGAGAACCCATGATGTTAGGTTTGATATAATTTATGTAGTTATCGAAGAGTTTAGGGATCTTGATTTGTTGAAACTTAAGAACTAAAAGGCAGTCATTGGAGGCTCACAAGAAATAGTTACATGAGAGAGAGGAAGAGAAGAAGTCTAACACATAACAGACATTATTGACAAAACAATACCAGAAAACTGAAGGAAATAGAGGATAATTGAACAAGAGAGGTTGAGAAAGAGAAAGAGGTAAATATAATGGTAAATGAGGCTAAGAAGGGTAACATGAGAGCTCTTGATACTCAAGAAGTGACAGAGGCAAAAACTCACAATGGAGAGGTGGTCGATCAGGCTCTGATGCGAGCAAGAAGAATATATAATGTTACAACCGTTACAAATATGATCGTTATGCTGCTAACTGTTAAAGCAAAGAAGAAGAAATAAATGTTATACAAAAAGAAGACTCTGAGGATAAAGTGGTGTTAATGATGACCACGACGAAGTCAGGATGGAGACATGGCAACGGGGCGGGGGCGGATTTTGCCTCCCGATCCCCGCCCCCGACTTTTTTTATCGTCCCCGTCCTCGCTCTTGATCCCCGCCAGGGTTAGAAATTAAGTCTTCATCCCCGTCCTTGTTGGGTTTCGGGTTTTCCCTGCCTCGCCCAGTCCCCGATATATATTATTTTTAAAAAGATAATTATATTAATAATAAATTAATTTTATTATATATTTTTTATATAAAAATAAATATTTATAATTTTACAATTTGTAATTATTATTAATTAAATATATATTTTAATTTATTATATTTATATTAAAATATGTATGTAAAAAATATATTTAATTATTTTATATATATATATACAATAACATTTATAACATTATTTTTATTATAACATTGTATTTAATACTTATAACATTATTATTATTATTATTATTATTATTATTATTATTCAAACATTTAATTATATATATATATATATATATATGTTAATTCATTTTTAAGTTGTCATTTTAAAATATGAAATATATATTTTATAAGAAAATATTTAATAAGTTAATTCTTATTTAATTAGTTCAATGTAATAAAATTTTAAATTATTAATTCTTTTTAATCTTTTAAAATATAACTATTTTATTAAAATAAAATTTGATATATGACAAATAAGAATAATAAAATAAAAAAAATATGATATAAAAAAACCTAATAAATGTAAGTTATAAATAAAATAATATTAGTTACTATTAAGATTTATGTAAAATATTTAGAAAAAGATAAAGAAGATAAAAAAATTAACTTTATGTTTATTAAATTGGTTAAAAAGATTGAAAAAAAAATAATCAGAGAGATTAAGGAAATGTGAAAAAACTGAAAGGCAAGAGAAAGAGAATAATGTAATAAATTAATTGATATAAAATATTAAAAAAGATAAAAAAAGTAAAAAGTGGATAGAAGAAAAATAAAAAAGTAAAATATAAAAAATGACCTTATATGTAATAGAAATATAAAAGGAAATACTTTTAAAATATTAATATTTTAAAATTTAAATTTAAATATAAAGATGGGTCGGGGTGGAGATTGTATTACTCATCCCCGCCCCGATATTTTAAAGCGAGGAAAACTTGAACCCGCCCCCGCTTCCAGTCAACTCGGTTTTTTCCCGTCAAACTCGGGACGAGGACGGATTGATACCCACGGGTACGAGTTTAATTGTCATCTCTAATGGAGATGATAAGAATAGTTATAGATCTCGTAAGTTATAAAGGGTGACAGATGCATCACATGAATGTAAAATCTATATTTTTGAATGGTGGATTAGAGGAAAAAGCAGTGATAGACCTTGACCAAAGTAAATATGCCAAAAAAGTATTCAAGAAATTTAGGACGAGTGAGTGTAATGCGACAATTATACTAATTGAGACAAATTTGAAATTTGACAAGGATGAAGATGAGAAGTTTGTAAATGCTACTTACAAATAGTTGGTTGCATAAAGTACTTGTGTCGTGGTAACCCGAAACATCTCATCTTGCAGTAATTAAGTGAGAGTTTTGAGGTATATAAAGGGAATGATCATTTGTGGTATCTTATTACTAAATACTACACATTAGAATGGAGATATTCTGATTCTGACTAGGCTGAAGATAAAGTTGGTTTCAGAAGCACATTAGAAAAATCATCGATTTCATGTTGCTCGAAGTTATAACCTGTTGTGACACTCTCCTTTTGCGAAGCTGAATACATGGTTGTTG